TGAGCATGGAATGTTTTTCCATTTGTTTTTGTCCTCTCTTATTTCCTTGAGCAGTGGTTTGTAGTTCTCCTTGAAGAGGTCCTTTACATCCTTTGTTGGTTGTATTCCTAGGTGTTTTGTTCTCTTTGTAGCAATTGTGAATGGGAATTCTTTCTGGTTTTGGCTCTCTGTTTGTCTGTTATTGTTGTATAGGAATGCTTGTGATTTCTGCACATTGATTTTGTATCCTGAGACTTTGCTGAAGTTGCTTATTAGTTTAAGGAAATTTTGGGCTGAGACAATGGGGTCTTCTAAATATACAATCATATTGTCTTCAAATAGAGATAATTTGACTTTCTCTTTTCCTAATTGAATACACTTTATGTCTTTTTCTTGCCTGATTGCTCTGGCTAGAACTTCCAATACCACCTTGAATAGGAGTGATGAGAGAGGGCATCCTTGTCTGGTACCAGATTTCAAAGGGAGTGCTTCCAATTTTTGCCAATTCAGTATGATATTGGCTGTGGTTTTGTCATAAATAGCTTTTATTATTTGGAGATACATTCCATCAATACCTAGTTTATTGAGAGTTTTTAGCATAAAGGGCTGTTGAATTTTGTTGAAGGCCTTCTCTGCATCTATTGAGATGATCATGTGGTTTTTGTCTTTGGTTCTGTTTATGTGATGGATTACATTTGTTGATTTGGGTATATTGAACCAGCCTTGCATCCCTGGGATGAAGCCTACTTGATCATGATGGACAAGCTTTTTGATGTGCTATTGCATTTGGCTTGCCAGTATTTTATTGAAGATTTTTGCATCCGTGTTCATCATGGATATTGGCCTGAAGTTTTTTTTTTACTTGAATCTCTGCCGGGTTTTGGTATCAGGATGAAGTTATGAACCAGCCGCCAACCGAATGGGAAGAAATTTTTGCAACTTACCCATCTGTCAAAGGGCTGATATCCAGAATCTACAAAGAACTAAAACAGATTTACAAGAAAAACAAACAAACAAACAAACCTATTCAAAATTGAGTGAAGGATATGAACAGACACTTTTCAAAAGAAGACATATATGAGGCCAACAAACATATGAAAAAATGCTCATCATCACTGGTCATTAGAGAAATGCAAATCAAAACTACATTGAGGTACCATCTCTCCTCAGAATGGTGATCATTAAAACATCTGGAGACAACAGATGCTGGAGAGGATGTGGAGAAATAGGAACACTTTTACACTGTTGACGGGAGTGTAAATTAGTTCAACCATTGTGGAAGAGAGTGTAGCAATTCCTCAAGGATCTAGAAATAGAAATTCCACTTGACCCAACAATCCCATTACTGGGTATATACCCAAAGGATTATAGATCATTCTCTAATAAAGACGCATGCACATGTATGTTCATTGTGGCACTGTTTACAATAGCAAACACCTGGAACCAACCCAAATGCCCATCAATGATAGACTGGACAAAGAAAATGTGGCACATATATACCATGGAATGCTATGCAGCCATAAAAAATAATGAGTTTATGTTTTTTTATAGGAACATGGATGAATCTGGAAACCACCATTCTCAGCAAGCTGACACAAGAACAGAAAACCAAACACTGCATGTTCTCACTCATAGGTGGGTGTTGAACAATGAGAATGCATGGGCACAGGGAGGGGAACAGCACACACTGGGGTATATTGTGGGGTGGGGGCTAGGGGAGTGACAGCGGGGGGTGGGGAGGTTGGGGAGGGATAACACTGGGAGAAATGCCTGATGTAGGTGATGGAAACAGCAAACCACCATGGCATGTGTGTACCTGTACAACAATCCTGCCAGATCTGCACATGTACCCCAGAACTGAAAGTATAATAAAAAATAAAAAGAAAGAAATATTATATATTGAACTATAAGCTGGTGTAATGGTTATTGATTTTAAGCTGGAGGGCTCCCAATTGTTAAGTTTACTCATATGCACTGCATTCTGAATCAATGAAATGCATTTGAGGTAAACTGATCTTGAATACTTTGGAACTAGCAGCACTGTACAAACGCTTCTCAGCCTTTCTTCATTTAGGCATGCCTCTAATACTTACTCAGCAAGTATATATGGTCTGAAGACATAGAAATTATTTTCCTGCCCCCAAGGAGCCCTTAGTGTATTAAAAAGAGAGATGGCAGGGGTCCAAAGTGGCTCCCGCCAGAGGTCGTGGCGCTTGTGAAGGCGAGGTCATGAGTTCAAGGCTAACCTGAGCAACCTTATAAGCTCAAACTGATTGGCAAAAAAAAAAAGAAGAGAGAGATGGCAAACAAATAATTGTTATAAGTGCCACCTGTGTGCTACCACCCACACAGGTAGCACAGGCACAAAGGAGAGACTAGTTTTACTTCCTTGGGAGGTGAGGGAAGGCTTCTCAGAGAAGTGTTGAATAATGAGCATAGGAGTTGGCCAGGCTGACGGGGCTAAAAGACTGAAATAAAAATCTTAATAGTACTCCCAACACACACACACACACCGCACACATGGGGAGAAAGAGAGAGAGAAAATAAAAGGTGATTTACATTATTAGAAATAGGAGAATGATCACAATTATGATAAATATCTTACCAGCATCATATGAAAATATTTATAAACACATGTCTATAAATTTGAAAATAATAATAATTGTGGGTGAAATTTAAAATGTTATAAAAGATATACCACTAGAAAAGCCTGCAGATCAAAATAATTTCATGTGCATTATATTTAATTTCCAAGGAACCAGTATGTCCTATGTTATTTCAACTGCTTCTGAGCGTCAAATAATAAAGAGCTTCTGAATTAATCTTATTAAGAATAAGATATCATTAATGGTAAAATCTCATACATTTCATTTTCATACGAAGTTCTTTTGGCTAATCTTATTTTTGCAGAAATAATAATGTAAACCATAGAATTATATTCTGTGCTGAAGTAAAAGATTAATATATAATGATAAAGTATAGTCTATCCCAAGAATCCAAGCATTGCTAAACTCTAGAAATAGGTTAACATGATAGAGGCGATATTTATAGTGCTGCTTAGTGTAGGCTCTGGAACTAGACTGCTGGCTGTGAATCCCATTATGTCACTCAAAGCTGTGTGACCTCTGTATGACCAGTGTCCTCATTTCAAAGTTGAAGATAATGATATGGAGTACCTCAATAAATTAATACATATGAAATGTTTAATTAGCCCTGGCATATAGTGAGAAATACATAAGCATTAGCTATTATCAGTAAACTGATGGCAAAAAGCACATGATCTTATAAAAATGATCCCAAAAAGCAGGTGGAAAATTCAGTAATTTCTTATAAATCAAGACAAATTTTCCCTTATGGCAATTCTGATAAATTAAATCCAGATAAGTTCTGCCTTACAGTCAAAATAGGAATAATAAGTATACCCTAAATGTTATAAAATGTTTATCAAAACATCAAACATCTGAAATTATATTAAACTCTGAAATACTACACATTTTACTTTTAGGTTGGTATCAAGACAAAATATTCACTACTGTCACTATTATTTAATATTTCCAGAGGTTCCATTAATGCAATAAGATTAAAACAAAGAAAAAAGTAGAATAATTATCAGGAAACATTAAAATATACTATTTTTTCTGTTGATATCAAAAATATGAAATTTAGTTAGAATATGTTATAGACTACAAAAGCAAATTCTGCAAAGTTGAAGAATACAAAATAAACTTATAAAATGCAATACATTTTTGTTTGTACTGAGTTAAATTAGCTAGAAAGTATGTATGAGCAAAGATATAATGCCTAGGAATTTATTTGCATACATACACAAATATATACATACATATATACGTACGTGTGTGTGTGTGTGTGTGTATTATTCCAAGACTTTACAAAGGATACATTAATTGGTCTAAGTAAACAGTAACATATAAGTACATAGGTAGGTAGAATTTCATATCTGTAGTGAAAGTAAAGCTTTTTTAAATAAATTGTTTGGGAAGAATTAGTAATCATTTGGATAAAATGAACCCAGATCCCTATTTCACTGCATATAAATTACAATTCTGAATGCATTAAATGAATGAATATGTTGGTGTATAGTGTTTGAAATAAGTATAAACATTTTCTTTTAAAATTACAGAGGGTTGAGGGGAGAAAAAAGGCTTTGGAATGCAGATGGGTAAGGGAATACTAAAAGGAATGAATGGATTCCCTACATAGACATGACAGGAACTGATATACCAGAGTTGTGATAGTTTTTCATTTGCAGCCTCAGGGTTGAGCTACTGCATGTGTGGTTATGCTTTAGGTCATGAAAAAAAGAAAAAAGAACTCTACATATATGTTTCATGTGTTTCTCTATGCAAACTAGACATTACACATAAAAAATTCTTGCCTGTGAGGATTTCTTCAGAAAGGTGTTTGAGAGAGTAGCCTTTATCCATAGGAATCAAAGAAGTCAAAAAAAGAGAAAAATGTGCATAAGAATGCCATGGTTTCAATGGTCTAAGGCTATAATTTGTACGTATACAACAGTCTAGGAATTTATTTGTATGTATACAATGTCTTCTGCTCCTATCCATAGTAACTCTTTTGAGATTTATCTGACCATTTTTTAAACATGTTTTCATTTCTCTATTACACTTTTAGCATACATAGACTGAGAAAAACTTCCTAGGCCAGGAGTTAGTTTAGAAAGGAAAGGGCTAGTGGAGGGATAGCAGGGGGTGGGAGGATTGTGGAAGGATAATATTAGGAGAAATACCTAATGTAGATGTTGGGGGATGGATGCAGCAAACCATCAAGGCACATGTATACCTATGAAACAAACCTGCACATTCTGCACATGTACCCCAAGACTTAAAGTATAATAAAAAAAAGAAAGGAATGATTATTGTTCCTCCAATATTTTAGGATACTCTTGCAGAGATGGGTCAAAAACTAGCACCAATGAAGTTAGATAAAATTCTTAATGAATTAACTATTAATCTGAAACTCAATTTCTGTGATTCATAGCATACCTTCTTTTTCATTTTTCTTTACAAGCTGGAGAGATGGCCAGCTGACTTCTTTTGGGACAAAATAGCTGGAAGAAAAATAGGAGCTGTTAAGCTAAAACCTCCTATGCCAAGTTGTAAACTACAGCACATTTTCATGGTTGAGTGGAAAAAAAATCCTGAAAGATCAAGCTTATTATAATGGAAGTGCTTACAAAACCAGCTCTAGCAGCACAAACCGCAGGACTATTACCAAGCCCTTAGGGTGGACTAGTTGATATCATTTGCACTTTAAGCAGTTTAGGTGTTAAATTGCATGCAATTGCACAGTGTGATAAAACAACCTTCAAAGATATGAAATAATCCCTCTTTTTTCTTACACTATTTTCTTACAGGAAATCTTAACTCATAAATGGTAGTATTGGGTAATTTGTTTCTAGTAAAATGCAGCATAATCCATTTAGTTACAATGCTTATCCCATTCCAGTAGCAAAATGTAACAGGTGTAGGATGTATTCAATAGACAGTGAGCCTAATTTCACAGATCTGGTTTAGAGTTGGATTTTCATTCTCTTTATTCTTTTACTGATTTTTAAATGGTGATTAAAAACCATTTGACCAAAAGATTATGGAAAGTAGCCAGAAGTGAATTTTTTTAATGTGAATATTTTAATGTAAAAACTTCTCTATTATTGTCTCCTTTTCTAAGACTGAGAACACAATGAAAATAATCTGTTCAATTCTGGGATATATAAGGTTTGCTTGCTCAGTTTTGCTCACTAATGTCATTTTGGTTTAATTCCGTGAGCAACAGTTGTCATTGGATGATAAACTTGTATTTGAGCTATTGATGCATAACTGAAGTAAAAATTATCTTAGGTTTTTGGTGAAAGCTTCTTGAGAGTGATAGGATTTTGATGAGGATTCTCTGTAACAGTTTATGGAGACTGTATTGAATTGGTCAAATAAAGAGACATATGGCAAGCTTCAGCTCTTTTCTTTTAGGGAAGTGTCAAGGGGATGGTGGAGGAAACAGGTGATGAAGCAGAGGCAGGCTTCAGCTTTAATGTTGTTTAAAAGAGTTATTTAAAAGTATATTTTAGAACATTTTTTTGAAATTAAATCCTAGAACGATTTGATATCTCTTGTTGGAAAAAATAGAAAAATAATCTTTTGGAAAATATAAAAGAGAAACAGTAAAAACCAATCAAAATGGTTGACCAGAAAGATAGAAATATACTGTTTCTCATAATTGGAGTTGCTTATTAATCATTTGGATTAATCTTTTTTATTCTTGGTCGGAGGGAGTTGAAACCTATGTTTTTATTATAACATATAAATATGGTAGTCAGGACAATACATAATGATTAGCAAAGGCCGTATACTAACTCTTTAGAAATCTTACACACCATAAACATTTTTTTTTTCTGAGGAAACAAAGCAGAAAGTTGTAAGCAAATAAATCTAATTCATCCATCCATTCAACCATCCATTCATCATTCCACTGACACATAAAACATTTGTTTTCTATCTCCCTATGCCAGACATAAGTAGGAAGACGTTAGGTACTAATGATACATTAATGAATAAAATTTGATCTCAATCCTCAAGAAATTTATGGGACGGTGAGTGAGACCATAGTTCAACAATACTTAATACATTCACAGCAAAACTGAAAAACAAAACTTTTTAAAAGGGTATATATTAAAAAGGCTAGGTAACTGGCAAACACTGTTTTTATGAATGGATTCAAAGTGAATCAGATGTGATTGTTTACATGTATCACTTTCCAGGTAGCTATGTGAACTGCAGGAACTCAGAAATAACAACTCTCTCAACTCAGTAGGCTGTCTTAGGGAACCACAGGGAATCAGAACAACTGCTACTGCTGATTGAGCCACAAATACATGGACATTACAAAAATGTTGCAACAAAATTTTCAAAAACCTTAATGAGACGTTCGCTTCGCACTGAAGGTACAATAGTGAACTTTAGCTGAAAAATATGGCTGGAAAATATGATGATTTTTTAAATTATGCTTTCCACTTAATTGATCTATGTGGTAAAACTGCCTCAGACAGTTACCCTGGTTTCAATGCTGGTCTTGCAGTTTTCACTTGCACATTAATTATGTTGCTTGATTGCCAAGCGTAGGTGTCTGTCTATTGTCCTAGATTAGGCTAGAAATATTCTCTAGCTCAATAGTTTGAGTCACCATGAAGTTTTCACTACCTCTTTCAGGTAGCCCATCTTCATTGCATGTATGTGTCCTTCCAGTTCCATTCTGTTTATTTACACATGTGTGCTTGCTCATGTGCGTGTGAACACACACACACACATACACACACACACACACACGGTTGTTTTCAACATAAGCAAGGGCAAGATCATTGTTCTGTAATTTGTTTCCAAAGACAAACTATCAAAAGAGTATGGAAGTCATCAATTATAGTATCAATGCATTTTGAAAGATACCTCATAAAAATACAAAGCAGAGTTGTAATAGTTCTCAAGTGATTCTGTCTATAATCCTTGACAGAGATGCTTGAAAATGACTGGCTGGGAACCTCAACAAAGTCATAATTGATCTCAATACATAAGTGGGTTTTGCCCAGAAGAGCAAGTGCCCCAGAGAAGCAGTAGAAGATGACTTGTAAGTGTTCTTTCTGGTTGAGATCTTTCCTATTCTGTTTAAACGTTAAAACATTTTTGTGATTGTTATCAGGTTTTTATAGCTTCATACTTGTGATTAACAAGGTGAACAAGTTTTGAAATAGAAACAAATGTTCATGAGACATGTTAGTCATGATTTCTTCTTTTATTTTGCCTGGTACTAAGTAGGCTCTTTCAATTTCAACAATTGAATATTTCGTTTAGAGAAATTCCATTTAAAAAATTTGATTCTTTCTTCTGATCTGTTTCATCTTTCTGGAAAAATATATGTGCATATATATAATCTGTGTAGTGGTGCTAATGATTTCCAGCTATTCTCCAGACTGGAGTACAGTGGCTATTCACAGGTTATTATAGCCCACTACAGTCTCAATATATACATTCAGTGTATATATATTATATATAATCTGGCTCTGGCACTATCTTCTTTTATCCTTTATTTTTATCATTTCATTCTGCTGTAAGAATATATATAGCTGATATCTGATTTTCTTTACTATCTCTACAGCATTTTAAAATTTAGTATATTTTTCCTTCAGTTTTAGAATTTATTTCTGAAATGAAGATAATAACATCTTCCTGTTGTAGTGTATGAATTAAATTAGAATGCAAAATTAGTGCTTAGTAAATTCTAGTTACTGAATTGCAGTAAGAGAATGTGTTCTATAAATGTTCTGTCTTTTGGAAATTATTGAGGCTTATTTTATTTCTTAGTGGATGATTGTTTTTTTCTGAGTCTTTAGAAAAAATTGTTTTCAATTAGGTACAAAACTCCCTCTGTATATGTTTACTAAGCACTTGTGTCAATAATTTTTTTTCAGTTCTAGTCATGTCAAATTTTAAACTCTTTCACTCCATAAGTTTCATAAAATTATTCTTATATTGCTTATGTTTTTTGCTTTAAATACTTCAATGACATATTTATTGGTGCATAAAAGCTCTTTGTATTGTCAAAATTTTTAACCTTATGAGAGATCTCCCTCCGTCTTTTAAATTAATTAATTAATTTGTATAAATCTAAGAGATGCCCATGGACTTTTGTTTAATGGATGTATTTCTCAGTGATGAAGTTTGGGTTTTCAGTGTTACAGACATCTGAATATTGCACATGGTATCCATTCAGTAATTTCTGATCCTTCAACATCCTATCCTCCCTGTTTTCCAAGGCTCCGATGTCTATTATTCTGCTCTCTATGACCATGTGTACACATTATTTAGCTCCCACTTATAAGTGAGAGCATGCAACATTTGGCTTTGTGTTTCAGAGTTATTTTATTTAAGATAATGGCTTCCAATTCTGTGCACGTTTTCATTTAATGCTTTTAAATTAAATTCTCCTTTATTTTTATTGCTGCTTGTGCTGAAAAATCTCATGTTTTCCCCTAAGATCCACTCTCTGACCTTTTCTGTCCCACTCTTCTTCTGGATGCTGGTTTGTGGACCACATCAAGAGGCACTCCTGGCCTCTGGCTGCTATTGGATTAGACTAAGGGGGATCACTGTCAGGACATTACAGAGTGGGAGGAGAATGAAATTGGGTTCCTGATTGTACAGGTTCCTCCTTGTGGAGTTGCCATTTAACTGCAGGTTTTGACCATAGGTCATAGCTCTTGTTAAATGGTCCTTTTCTTTATAACCTTGGGTTTTCAGTAATGTTTACCTCCCTTTATCCACTGGGACCTAGTGGTGCTAATGATTTCCAGCTATAACTAGTTGTTTTCCCATACCCTACTCATTCTTTGTAAATAGTTTCTTCTTTTTTTTTGGAGTTGTGTTTGCCTAGACTGGTACAGTGGCTATTCACAGGTTATTGTAGCCCACTACGGTCTCAAATTCCTGGGCTCAAGGGATCCTTCCCCCTCAGCCTTCAAAGTAGCTACAGCTACTGGCAGTGCCAATGCCTGGCCAGTTCTTTTATTAAATGCTCCTCAAGTTATCTAGTTGTTATGTGGTGAATATTTGTGCCAGGGAAGTGGCTGATATATTATTTTCAAGCTTACTTTCTCTTTATTTCTATTGGCCCTATACATATTTAGTTTTTATTTATTTTAAACCATTCTATGTCATTTTATGTATATTTCTATAAAACAGCATTTATAGGTTTTCCTTTTAGTTTATTCAAATGGAATGTTGGTCTTTTAAATATAAATGGCTTTCAGTCCATTTATATTTAATATGAGCTCTGAAACATCTTATTCTTAGCATCTTTTATTTTGCCTTCTTATTTCCATTTCTTTAATTTTGACTTCTATGAAATTAATGTGACATTGCTCCTTAAATTTTTTAAAGACACACAAAACATATACAGTATGATTCCATTTATATAAATTTGAGAATAGGCAAAGCTAAACAACTCTTCAGATATGCCTACTAAGGTAGTAAGACTGCAAACAAAGATGATGGGCAACAAGTTGCA